ATCCCAGAGTAAAACATTGCGCAAGAGATTAGCATCAAAACAGCAGGAATTCCCAAACCCACAGCCCAACTCACGTTTGACTGTATGTAGACAATGAGTGACGAAGACACCATGACAGCAAATGTGTAGGTAAAGAAGTACCAATTGAAGAAGCTATTGATTCCCTTCTTTCCAGACTCAGTGTTGGGGTTGAACTGATCAACTCCAAATGCTAAGTTACAAGGTCTGATCCCTGCAGCTCCCACTATTAGAAGTCCAAATCCAGCTAGTAGAAAGGCCATTTGCCCTGCAGTTGGGCCTGTGCATGTCATCTTCTCTCTTCCACACTCAGGTGGATGCATTTTCTTAATCCATGCTGTTAGTTGTATAACAAGCAACCCCTGTTCAATAACCAAGAGATGCAACATTTAAATCACAGCTCTCATACTCATTGGATAAAGATAGAGATGTACATATTGACCGATCAAAATATAAATATGCTAGTCACACTCTTATTACTCTTACTAACAAATTTTGGTGGATTCAACTATAAGAGAAACTCATTAAACAAAATGTTAAAATTGTAAAATTTGTGATTTTTAATAAATTTAAACCAATAATAAGTAGGGTGTTATAGAAAATATTGTTAAAATTTCTTTTAAATAATATATAAATAAGAAAATTTCATAAACATAATGTCTAATATCACGTTTACTTGTGTGTTGCTTATGTCTCAATATGGGAAAGATATAAGAACACCCACCAATAAAAGAACACCCTTTTAACACTCATTTTTTATTTTTTCTTTCCTAATTGCAAACTAAAATTAATATTTTAACATTGAGTCAACTTTATTTTATTGTCTTATGGGTGTTATTGGGGTGTCTGACAATTAAAGGGTCCAAATTTTAGGACTTGGCTTAATAATGTAGTTCTCTCCTATTTTTTTCATTTTCTCATTTCTAACAGTTTCGACAAGAACTTTTAGTAAATTAAAATTTATTTTTGATAAAGAAAAGTTTACATTAGGAAAAGGCGTGAAATTTAAAGTACATGAAAGTTAAATATTTTTTTGTGCACCATAAATTTAAGACCTCAAACCCTCTAGCACCAGGCTGATACTTAAATATGGAAAAGTACTTTTCTTAAAGCCCTCTTAGAAGTTGGTGATAAAAGTAATTGCTAATTCTCTAAAGTAAGTTGACCTATAATTAATATATATTCACGCCATTAATGCTTAGAGGGAATATATAGTTTGGAGAGAGAGATTGAGACCAGAAAGGAAGCAATTGTGGAGAATCCAAGTGTCTTGTAGCGTCCAAAATATGTGTCACAAAGAAATGCCCCAAGCAAGGTAGATAGACTGGCACTGCCATTGAAGATGTTGATAATATTTGTAGCTGTAATACTGCTCAAGTTGAACACAGTTGTAAGATACACCAAGAGGTTGGCCAAGGTACCAATGGTTCCTAGCTTCTCAAAAGTTTCATTCCCTGCATGTATGTCATCATGTAAGATGTATGAGTCAAGTGAGTGTGAGAAGAACAAGATGGAATTATTTATGTATGTTGCTTACCAATGATAAAGGGCATGACTTTCCAGCCTCTGTATTTAACCTTTGGTTCCTCATCTGTCACACTTTCCTTCTCATTTTTCTCCATAGTCTCTACCCCGCTCTCTCTTTTCTCAATATGGTTCATGAATATTCGACTTGCAACTTTAGGTAGGAAAGAACTCAATAAGCTAGAGAGAGGGGACAAATAATTGTTAAGGTTTTCTAAACTTTTCCAACCTACTTGCTATATATCAAACAATTCTTTCTTTAAGAGTAGAGACTCCATCCCTGGGATACTTATAGTGGGAACCTGAGTAGTATTTTCTAGTTCCTGTTCCTTGCAGAACATTAGAGTCAAATAAAATATGTGGTTGAAACGTTCCATATATTTTTGGGATAGATAATTCACACGCTTCATATGGCCATTTTTTGGTGTTATATTTCTCGTGGATAATGATTGTTTCCAGTGTTATATTATATATTGCTTACTGGATAATGATTGAATCTCAATTTGTTTCCATGACATAAAATTCTATACATGACTCACTTTACTGCACGACGATAATTTAATTTCGCATAGTAATATATATACAATTCCATATACGGATAAAAAATATGTAGTCCCATTTCACCTTATATGTCTCTTCAGAATTTAGTCAAAATCACGTGTTCCCATTTTCTCTATAGCTGTCTCCATATATTTTAGTCAAAAAAAAAAAAGCCATATCAAATGTCATAATCTAAGAATGACAATACGTTATTTTACCCCTTTTTTTGTCTCCTTCCGTCTTAGATTAATTACAATTTTAACAGAAATGTTCCAAAATAACTTATCACTCTTTAAAATAATATATTTTTTTTAATTTATCTCTTCCCAAATCATTTTCCATCACCACAATTAAAAATGTATTTATTGAAAGAATAAAATTATTTTAGTAAAAGTATATTATAAAGTGATTAATTTATTGTTATTCTTGCTTAATTTGTGAATGAAATCTTAGATAGCAGTGGAACGGAGAGAATATACTTTTTAAATTATTAAGTGAAATTTTATTTAAATCAAGTTAAATAATTTGGATCTACCCACACTCACTCTCTCTTCATTTTGGCTAGTTAATTTGATATACAGTCTCTTTGTGACATTAGCATGAAATTTTGCGTGACAATAAAGAGTATTAAAGACATGTTAAAAAAAATGTGGTGTGTTTGCATTTTCCTCAAGGGTGGTCCTACGATATGTTGGATTGAAGAAATTTCAAAATAAGATTTTTGTGAGTGAATCTGTTAATGCATACAGCATGGCATGGCGTCAACGTCAGTTTTAATTGTGATGTGTTTGAGTTGCATGTGTAACTAAGAAACAAAAAAGTGGAGTCCTACTCATTGCCATAGTCTTAATTCTCACACATGTGCTTAGCTTATGGGCCAATTGTAACAATTTTCTATTATGTCTACTTTTTCATTATATATATATATTTGTATCAAGACTCAATAATATTGCGTGATTTTGAGCACTCTCTTACAGTGTTTCCTTTTTTGTACGTCTTTTTTACATGAATGGTGTTACATATAGCTTGTCTTTTGAATAGAGAATTTACGAGTCACATTGGAAGCACTTAGGCATCAAACTTTGGGTTAATTTAATTTCCCATCAAATCAGGTTTCAATTTTCTCTGATGCCGTTGACTCATAGCATGGGTCCCTATTCCACGTGAAAGATAATGGAAGATACGATAGGATACAAGCTTTCCCAACAATGCAATTTCGATTTATGGATTTGTTGGATTCGTTTACTTTGACAAAATATTTTCGATTTTTATTTATTAGTCTTACTTTTAATTATAAAACTAGTCACTTGTTTATGTATTGCACCAGTTATGCATGTTTTTAAACGATTTATGCATATGATGATTTAATTAAAAATTAATGTTAGTTATACATATATTTGTTAGTCGAAATTAGTCAATGTAATAACAACTCCATGTAACAAATGAAGAAATTAATATCGTAGATTGAGATTACCAAATATAATGTTATTACACTTTTTTCAATAAAATATAGTTCAACTAAAGTGAAAACAATATCTGTTTATATTTTTTTTCTATTTTCAAGATTTATACAGGAAATATGAGAAAAACTACGGTTTTCTGTACAAATATTTTAAAAATATATATATATATATTGAAAATAACGTAGTAAATGAGCTCTTGCATATTGAATTATTCAAAATGACGTGATGAATGAGCAAATGGAGGATTGAGACGAAAAGCAAAATAAGTTGTGTTAAATACTCTAAAAACTCAAAGTCACAAATGTTGAGGTTTGTTTGGATGTATTTAAAGCTTTCACTTTCAATGTTAGTAGAAAAGAGCAAGTCGAATAAGGAAGTTCAAGAAAATATCATAATCATGTACATTGTGCAGTGTGAAGCAATTCCCTTTCAAATCCACCACACACTATACTACAATATTCAATCATTTTCAAGTTTAATTTCTAAAACTACCCTTAATTTTATAGTTTGCCCAACTTCATTTATTTATTTAAGTCTTGAACTTTATTGAATAGATAAAATTATTCTATAGCAGATGGAATTAGCCAATTATACAAGTTTGTTTTGTTGGAAAAACATAGAAATCCATTAAACTAAATTACATGTTGATATTTTTTTATGGTACACAATATTTAAAAATATATTCAAAAATTGAAAATGAAAGCAGTTTTATATAAGGCGTTCTTGAGTTGATGTGGTTCTATTTAAAAAAAAAACAAAAAAAACAAAAAAAAAAACCAATCCAATTAAAAATTGAATTGCCTTGTTAGGTTAAGCTAAAAGATAAATTATTATATTTTTATTTTTTATTTTACATGTGTTATTCATTACATGAAAATTTCAATTTAATATTACTTTATATTAAATGGGTCTTTATGTATCTCATTAATCCTTTTACGTAATTAAATAAATAATATATTTAATATTATAATTAATATATTATAAAAAAATATAGATAAAAAACATATATAACCAAAATCATTTTAAAATATAAAATATATATGACATTCAAAATAAATTGAAAATGAAAAAAATAGAAGAAAGGAATAACATATTAAAGTCTAAAGTACATAAATTTAAAATTTTATGAAGAAAAAAAAAAGTTGATCCAGTATTATCATGAATGAAATAATATGAGCTTGTTTCAGCATTAAAAAAAAGTTGATCAGCTTGTGATGAGATTGGTTCAGTTAAGAGATAAATTTGAAAAGCAAACTAATTATAATTAGTTTAATTTATATTTGAAGTAAAATGAATTAATTAACCAAAATAATAAAGATTTTAATTAGCTTGATTTGGATTAACAAGTTTATCAAATTAACTTAATCTAATGAATACTCCAAATAATAGTGCATGATTCAACTCTTCAATCAATTCAATTAATTTTTGTTTATATTACATGTATTTTTTTTATAGGAAGCAATCATTTTCGAGTCAAATAAGAATTATATTTTGAAAAATTATAACAAAAATAATATATAAAAAAAAAACCTTCACATATTACATATTTTAAACCAAATTGAATAACCAATAAGATTAGTTTAATTAGTGGTTGAAGTAGTATATAAAGAATAAGATGTTATACATTAATTAGATTTGAATCTTAGTATTAATTATACTAAAAAAATTTCCTTTAAAATTCTTTTACCTCGAAAACTTATTAGCTAATCCTTGAATTTTCTCAAATAATGTTTTCTCTTTCTCGTTATAACATCATCGATATTAAGATATGAACTAAGAAAAAAACTCTTTTTTTTTTTTTTTTTACGAAACTGTGTGTTTGTTTATATGATTGAATTTCTTTCTACTTACACTTAAAACTGCATCAATGAAGAAGTTATGTTAATAATAATCTATTTTTTTTCCCATATGACGCAATTTTATAGATTTATGCACATCTTTAACATGTCACCAAATATGCTAAGTAATGAAAAACAAACAAAATAGAGAACAGCAAAACAAGGAAAATGAAAGCCAAACATAAAATTTGGCGTCATGTTTTGTCCATTACTCTAGTGTTTTCAATTGAAAATGAAAAGACTTGTTTATAAGCTTCATGATAAATAAATATACTTTATATAAATCAAAAGTAAACTAAAATTGAAAAAAAGAAAGTGTATTTATAGATATGACTAAAGTATGATAATTAAGGGATGCAAAATTTAATCTCTATAGTATGTATTTACTATCTAGTGAGCACATAAAGAGTTGGAGACAAAAGGATCTAAAGTAAAAGACACAAGACCATATCAAAATTGAATTGCATAAAGTTTTTTTAAGAAGAAAAAAACCTAACAACAAATATATTCATGGCACTTAAGAATTGAATTTTCAAATTTGAACTCCAACAAGAGGAGAGAAGGTTGCCCTTTGTCTTGTTCTAATTGTATCCAAGACATTCTCCTCGTCATTTGGTTCAGATGATTCTCCCACAACAATTGAATGTCCTGGTTGCACCTCTGTTGTTTCATTGTCTTTGTCACTAACTAAATATCGGCTAGCAAAGAAATTGAAGTAGACGAAATTCAAAGCTCCTAATGCAGCAATGACATAATAGTAATAATCAAGCCTACCCTCATTCAAATCATGACCACCTATCCATGAAGTTTTTCCTCTATGTGATGTTGCTTTGTGGACAATATTGACAATTAAGGATCCTAAGTAGTTTGCAACGGAGAGGCTCAAAAAGAAGATTGCCCCAGCAACAGTTCTCATGCTCTCTGGCATTTGCAAGGTAAAGAATTCCATTACAGCAACAGCAGAAAATGCCTCGGTAAGGCCTGCTATAGCAAACTGAGGCAACAAGAAGGCAAAACTTAATGGTGAAATGAACAGGCCATGTTTCAAAGCCGATTCACGACGTTTCATTTCAACAATTGCTGCTACCAACATGCATAAGATGGACAACAAAATCCCAATTCTAATTCTTTGCTCCATGCTCAATCTTGGAGGCTTTTTAGTGATCTTCCTCACTAAGGGAATGTAGACACACTCATAAATATATATCCAAAATGAGAGTGCTAGCATTGATGTAAGGTTCATCCAACCTGGTGGAACATTAAAGTGTGGCCCAATAGACCTTTTGGTTTGAACAACTTGAAGCACCCCAAAAGTGTTTTGCTGGTCCATCACAATGAAGCAACAAATTCCTGTCACCCACACTGGTAGAATTCCCAATAAACATTTAAAGTGTTCCACTTGTTGCAAACTACAAAGTCTCCAAACATCCCTAGCCATGCCTTGGTCATTCAACTCATTAGGATCAACTATTATAGCAGCATGATCAAGGAACTTGAACCTATCTGTTTGAACAAGCCTACTATTCTCCAATTCTAAAGTGGAAGTAGGATTGTAAAGGTTTCTCAGAGAAGCTTGTATTTTACGTTTCCTATAGGCTGCTGCAATGACCTTGGCCATGTCTGAAAAGATGCTCCCTTGAGGCTTCTTGTAAATGTAAGTGTGGCGACCAAGAAGGAAAATGGTTATTGAGAAAGCAAGGCAAGCAGTTGGAATGGCAAAGCCTAAAGTCCAGCTTATATTGGTTTGAATGTAAACAACACCAATGAGTGCTATAACAAGTGCAATGGTGAAAGTGAAGTACCACCAATTGAAGAAGCTCTGAAGTTGTCCCTTTCCCTTATCTGTGTTGGTGTCAAATTGATCAGCACCAAAAGCAATGTTGCATGGCCTGATTCCCCCAGCTCCTATGGTTAATAGTCCAAGACCTAAAAACAGGACTGCTAGCTGCCAAGCTTGTGGCAATTGACAATGAGATCTTTCCTTGCAGGTTTCGGGTCTTAGTTGATGTATACCTGCTGTTAGTGTTATGGTTAAAATGCCCTGTCAAATACAATCCAAATTTGTGATGTAGACACGATCTCCCCCAGTTTAAAAAGAAAGTTATTGAATCAATAAGTGACTTAAAAGTTTGCAGCAATGCAATGCTCTATCATGTGTAATCATGCATGATCTTTCATTATACTAACGGACATTGGGCAGGATTGGTTACAACTTCCAAATTTTACTGAATCCAATAAGCACTAGAAGTTAACATTATGTTAATTTGTGAATTGATGAATAAATGCCTCAACATTTTTCTCAATTTTTGTTTCAATTTCAATGCCTATTGAAGAGTACATTTAGGCATTACAAGGTTATGTTGCAGAAAGGTGTAAATAAATATAGGAAGAGAAAAATAAAATTAATTTGACAATTAAAAACATGACTCAATGAAAATAATTTGCACGTGAATGGAAAGGAAGACAGAACATGCATGTTAATTTCCTTACCAGAAGTGATGCGATACAACCATAGAGAAGGGTCCGAAACCTGCCTAAATAAGTATCAGAAATGAAAGCACCGATTATTGAGAATATGTTGGAGGATCCACTCCAAATTTGCACCACATTAACCACATATATGCCACTCAGGTTGTAATTTGTGAGCAAATACAGTGTCAGATTTGATATCAAACTCATGGATGCCAATTTCTCGAACGACTCGTTACCTTTGCAAATTAATGACATTCATCAGAACAATGAATGTTAATGTTACATAAATTGTAAGATGCGGAAGAAATTACCAATGATATATTTGATGGATCTCCATCCTCCTGCTCCTCTTGACGAAGGAGAAGAAGAAGAGGGTGGTGTGGGTGTTCGCTCATGTTCTAACTCTAGTGCACGAGGAGAATTAGTGTTCTCATTCTCCATTTTTTTAAGTTTAGGGTTTATAACTCTCTTCAATTCTTTCATATATGTTGTCTAACATATAAATTGAATATATAGTTTTATGCATTCCGATCCGTTTTGATAAGACCACGCAAGCAAAAAAATATCTTATTTTATAATGTTTGTTGGTTGATTCTTTCAAAGTGACTTGAAACAACCTGAGATTAATGTACGTGTAATTTGTTATTTAGTTTGCATCAAATGGAGGTGTGATTCTACGTGTTTGCATGCAAAGAGATAATAGCTAGATTTTTGGAGATGGATTCACGTGTCTCTCATATCTTTTAGTGTTTTATTTACTTATTTTTGGCACGTAATTCAGTGAGTGATATTTATTACTCCTTCCGTTTTTTTTTCATAGTCGTTTTGTCAGAGTTTGTTGTTTTTTTTTCATTGTCATATTACTAAAATCAATGAATTATTAATTTTTTTCTTCCATTTTTACCTTTAATAATTAATACATGTTTCCTGAACAATGTGTATATTTATTTTTAATGTCTACCTAATTTTTTTCTAACTACTCATATAAAGTTAATGTGCATTTATAAGAGTAATATGTTCCCAACAAAATATTATAAAAAAACAAAAAAAGGGACAACTATTTAATGAAGTAGTTCAACAGTTTAAAAAATGAAAAAAAAAAGGTAAAATAGGAAAGTAAGTAATAAATATTTTTAAAAACTAAAATATCAATGATTTCCTTAATTTCCGTGCAAAACCTTAAACGACTATGAAAAAAAACGGAATGAGTATTTACTTAGTCGCTAAACCCCGTAGTTTCAGTAATTCGGTTAGATTTTTAATAATCGGTTTCCTATTTTTTTGTGAAATATCTTCTTGGTCTTGTTCTCATTTTGCATAAGCCAGCCCAATAGTCAGACTCAGAAGCATGATATACATATACGACGGATGCATACTTACGAGTTACGAGAGCGGGGGCAACTTTTACTTTTATTTATTTATTTATATATATATATTATTTATTTTTAAAATTATATATATATATTTTATTTTTTTTTAATTTATTATAAAAAATTTATTAAGTAATATATTTTATAGAAACATGATACTTCTCATTAAAAATTATTTTTATATATATTATAAATACAATATATATTGATATATTGTTAAAAGGTGTAAATATAAATTATAATAACACTTTTTATATGTGACTATATATAATATTTTTTGTAACAATTATTATTTTATATCTAATGTTAAAATATATTAATATTTCATTTATATTTTATTTTATTGTGTAATTTCTTTCACTTTATGATAAAATTGTCTTAAATTTTTTTTTTATTATAATATATTTTATTTTTTTACTAAAAGATTTATTACTTTTTTATTTATTAAAGATGTCATAATTTAGTTTACAAATATTTTTTTTTAAATTTTTATTTTAGTTTTTAACCCTTTTGATAGTAATTAGAGGAATGATAGTAATTGTCACACAAAGTTTTTATTTATTTTTACTTAAACATATTTAATAAAAAAAAAATTACTCTGGTAAAAAAATAGACATTATTTTCATAAAATATTATTTTTTGATTGAATATAGAAATTTAGAAGAGATACAAGAGAAACAAATGGTAACTATATTATATTTACCTTAATAACTTATGCTATTTTGTTTCTCTAAAATTAAATAAGTCACTAAAAGTTACAACATTACACTTAAATATAATATCATACAGTAAAGAAAAAGAAAAATTTGTCACTTTATTTATGAGAATATTTAAATTTTAAAAAAATAAATATATTAAATTTTTTTCACAAAAATATATTTTTTTAAAAAATTATTATATTTTTAACAATAAAATATTTTATTATTCTTACTTAACAAATTTTCTGGATCCATCATATACTTAAGTAATATATTATTAATCATTATAGCATCACACGTATTATTATTCATTACTATATTTGCAAGGCCAATTAGACGTACAACAGTCTTAGACCCCTTTTAAATTTTTAACTTCCATATAATTTTAAAAAAATTAATGCGTTGATACATTTTATTGTATTATTTATTTTTAATTTATTAATAAGTATGTATAGTTTAAAAATACGATACATATAAACAAATATGGTATGGATCATATGAGAAGTTTTATTACTCATTTGAAATAATATAAGCAAAATTATTTTACATTTGCTTTAAATTAAAAAAAAAAAGTACATAAATTGGATATTGACATTAATTTTTATAAATAGAGTATGATTCTTTAAAAAATAGTAAAAAGATCACACGTTCAATTAAAAATTAATTCTTTTAGTTTCAATCATTTCCTACACATATCAGAGGAAATTTTTTTGAATAAATCTTTTAGTTTCAATTATTTTCTTTACATATCAAAGGAAATTATTTTCCTTTATTCAAATCTTATTTGAATAAAAAATTATTTTCCTTTATTCAAATCTTATTTAAAGTACATATATATATATCACTTTAAAATTTTCTTTATCAGAATCTCGATATTTGTGGATTTTAAAGGTAGAAGAATTATAAATAAAAAAATATTTTATCAGGCTTAAAAATTACTGAGCATTAATTTGATATTAGTGATTTCCCTCCCTAAATTCTAGGTACTAGAAAAATATTAAAAAAAATAATATTTATATTTGTTATTCTCAATTTTTCTTTCAAAATTAAAATTTTTAGATTCAAATTGACATAAACTATATTGCAAGTAGTGTTTAAATAAATGATGATTGAGATGTTAAGAAAACTTGATTATTAAAGTTCAATTAACAATGTTCGTGTTTAAAATTATATATATATATATAT